CCCCTCTTAGGTGAAATGGAGACATCCAGAGCAACTTTCTCTTAAGGTTCTTGTGAGAAATACAGCAACACCTGTAGAGACTTAGAATAGTGCATAGCTTATACTATATGCTCAATAATAAGTCACAAGGTGTGGTTTAGGAAGCTGTCTACTTTGCCCTATATAAGGACCAAGTGACTTTCCTGCCCCCCCCCCCTTTTTTTTCTTTACTGTGCTTTGAACTCAAGACCTCATGCTTACTTTCCCAAATGGCCTAGAACAATGGAGCCTCCTAAAAAAAGAGATTCAAGGACTGCAGCATGGCTGAAAGACATCCAGCATTTGCCTGGCCCTGCAGAGTATGACTTTAGTAAAGACACGGGGAAATAATATTTCCAAAATGTTTTCCAACTATTTTTTTTTTACAATTTCTTTTTGCCTTATGGCTACTGCTCATTGAATCAGTGGCATTCATGGCTTCAAGTAAAGGCTAGGCACAACCTAGAATAGGAGTCATTCCTCAACTTTGAGTTGAAAATTCACTTTTATTTTTTTATCCATAGAACAATAGTTTGAAAGCTAAGATTTGCTGAAAGGAAAAAAGTAGTTTCCTAAACACACATGGTGTACAAATCAAGAGTAAAGTCTGAAGGTCTAAGCACAAAACTCTGCCAAGCGTGCCAGAAGGTAAGAACCCATTGCTGAGATAGAAGAAGTTGTCATTCAGGTGGAGTTGGGAGTGTGGGATATTTATGGGGTCCTCAGCACTTTGGAAAGGAAGGTGATGGGGAGAAGCAAGCTCCAGCCAAATCAGCAGGGAGCTCTGAAATGAATAATTCCCGCCAGAGTTGTCTGTGTCACACTCAAATGACTGGATTTTCGAGTTCTTGCCTTCCTCAGCTTTGGCTGACATAACCTCAGCCGAGTGGCCTCCTACAGCTTTTCTCTAAGTAAGGCTTGGAAGCTAGACACTCTGTGCTCCATGCACTTCTGAATGTTGGGATAGTTGTTCATCAAAGTGCTCAGGAAAGCCCATGTCCATGTTTGTAGACTACAGTGTCCCTCCAGCTTGAGGAAGAACTAGAAGAGTTGGGAAAGAATGGCCAAATGAAGATGATGATGATGATGTAGTAGATGTAGGCATAGCTTTAGATCTAGGAGTTACCCAAACCAGCAGTCTAGAATGTAATAGCTTTCATAATGCATTCAAGAGCTTGACTTGCTAAGAGTGACTGTAGCCCTGCTCCTGAGAAGCCTTGAACGATATGGCATAGTCCACTAGGCTGTTCACATCCTGGTGGTCAAGATATCAGTCTGTTTCTCTGCTTCTCCAGCTGCATAGTGACACAGGGACGACTACCTGAATCTCCACTATGAAAAGACATTAAATGATGTGTATAGCCTACCCCCAGCATGGACAGAGTAATGAAGTGTTTATTGGCTTTCTTTTCCTGGACACGACTATCTTATGTTTGATCCTAATGAGCTCTATGACTCTTGATTTCCAAGCCTAAGGGAGAGCCTCTGAGCCCAGCAAATTTTGAAGAATCCCTGCTGAGTTTCTTAGTCCTGATTAGTCAGAGTAAAGGGGGCATCAATCTCTCTACGAGGAGATGGCAGCCTTCACATCGCAGACTAAGGAAAAATGATGATGCTAACTCAGACCCTGAGGGGCGTTGTTATATTAAAGTGAAGAAAATAAATCTGCACACTCTGTCGTGCTTGATTCAGGGCCCCTCCACTTCTTGTCCTCGCTTGCCACCCCCATAAAATAGAGCTGGTGGTGAAAAACGAAGCCAAGATGGAAGCAAGCCATTTCCCAGATCACTCCATAAACCAGCAAGCACTAAAATGCTCTGGAAAGGCTTTGGATTAAGCTCTAAGAGTGAAGGAGTAAGGCTAGCATAAATGAAGTAAGAGTGACTAGTACCAAGAATATCAAGTTCTATTTTGTGCAAATATAGTTAAGGAAAATCTCTTTATCTCTTCATATATCTCCCAGCTGATGTTCTTCAGGGTTCTCAGTTTCATCAAAAGCCATGTACTCTCCCAAGTCATAGTTTACATAAAACATATTATCATGGAGTTAAAGACAGCAGACAGGGAAAGAGACTGTGTTCTAGGACTTTAATTTTACAGCCCTAAAGTATGTAGTAGTAGCCCCATTGCCTCTGTTCTTTTCCCATCCTCAGTCCTCACTGTTACTGGGACAACCTATGAGAACCTTCATGTGGGGGATAATGGTACAGATATAAAGGGCAGGATGTGATCAACATTCCTAGACCCATCTCCCTTGCAAGAGGACCAGTTCTCACAGCACAAATCGTACATTTTCCAGTGTTGGCTCCCACAAGAAGCTAGGAAGGCCCAACATCCACTTGATGCATCAGCAGGTGGAGCTGAAGAGCTAATCCAGCTGCTGGACTAAGGGCCATCTCTAGCAAGTACATAGAGTCTTGTGCAGTAGCATTCTGAATAAGACACAAAGGCAGTTGGAAAAGGCCTGATAAATTTTTGGGGCCCTGTGGATGCTATCAAGGGAAAATACAATATGGCATACCTTATCTATTTTTTATTTGTTCATTCACTAAAATTAATACCCACCATGTGCCAGGCACTCTGTTGAACACTAGGAACACAGTATCAAATTGTTATCCTCATGAAACTTAAGGAAATGGTTCAACTGAGTGGTTAAGTATGTTTGTTTACTTTGGCACAGGTATTGGGTAAGTCACATTTAGACTGTGGTGACCTCAGATTTGAGGCAGATGACTCAACATGGCATATATAAAGTACAGATACCAAAATGGACCCCAGTAATTCCATCCCTCATAACATTATCTTGAATATTTTTAAAATACCAGGCCGGGCTGCCCCTTTCGATTTTGATGCAAGGGAAGTTCCAGGTCCTCAGTGATATGCAAAACCCACGTGTTTGAGATAAGCCTGAATGATTTTACAGCAGGGGACCAACTAAGTTCTTTTTTGGTTGGGTTTATTTTGAGGGGGGGGGTGCTTTTTGTTTTGTGCGGGTACTAGGACTTGAACTCAGGGCCTGGACACTGCCCCTTCGCTTTTTTCCTCAAGGCTGACATGCTACCACTTGAGCCACACCTCAGCTAGGTTCTGCTTATTAACCTAGTGTGTTTTCAAGTATATTCATATCACAAAAATTATATTGATGACCATAACAAACTGTGACTTTATCTGTGTTCCATTTTATAGATTTTGAAGACCCTATTATGAGGGATTAATATGTAAAATCTACGATGTACAAATACAATATATATTATAACAATAAGAATGTAAATACATAATCTATAACATGTAATTCATTTTTCTTAGTAAATCCATATGCAATTGGATATTTTATTTAGACCAAGAACACACATATTCCAGGATTGTATTTTCAAGAACCATTACAATATAATCAAATCAACCTGTGTTGGTTGAGCACCTAGTACATGCAACATAGTCATTGGCTTGTACCTTCTGACACATCCTCCCTTTCTTAGATTAGTCCACAGTGTGCATTGGAAGTTTCCCCTATGGGTTTATATTTGCTGTTGACATTTCACTTGTGTTTAGTGTACAACTAGTTTGTACAACTTGATGGAAGTATGTACTCTGCTTTGCAGAGCAGCTTACTCAGAGACACATCCACTCCACAAAACCTTTTCCCCTAGTCTTAGCCACAACTGGGCCAGAGGCCACAAGTCCAGTGGTCCAGGGTGCTCCTCCCTAAAACGTGTTGAGAATCAGCTCTTACGGGACTACACTTAATGACTCATCATCCAGCCTCCCAACCACAACACACATCTGGATATCTGTTTCCTAGAAATGACAATTTCAGAGAGATTTATAACGGGAAGCAATTCCCAGCAAAACAACAGGGTGCTTGAGAATTTAACAACCCCCAATCACAAACATCAAGAAACAGTTTCCTCTCTTCACCAGATATACCCTGTTTCTAAGTATAAAACAAAGGAACTATGAAAACTGAAACTATAAAACTCCTTAATGACAATGAAAACTTTCCTATCATAGATAGATACATATATATACATACATATAAGCATTGGTCACAAAGCAGAGGACTGTTCTAGACAGTTTACATGCATTCATTTATGCAATAGTTACCACAACCCAATAGACGTGATCCCTCTAGTGGAACAGAGGATCAGAAATGTTAAATAACTTGCCCATGATCACATAGCTACTAAAGTGCAGGGTTAGGACCCCAATCATATGGTCTGGCTCCTGAACCTGGGCTGTTAGCCACAGGTTACTGCCACAAATTCTTAACATTTAAGCAAATGCTCATGTGGGGTAGAGAGTAGTCTGTATTTGAACAGTGCCTCAGCTGTCCACTTTGCATTTTAGGTAGCTTTTCCTACCAAAAAGTGCAGTCCCTCAGTGATCACATAGCATCTATTCTAGGTACGTAATAATTCTTGAACCTATAGCCTCTCCACCCCCCCCCCCTTGTCATTGCCTTCATTCAAACCATTGCAATTTCTTGGCTAAATTGTTATACTCTCCTTCTAATTTACCTTTCTGTTTGTATCTCTAACTGGAGACAAAGATAGCAAGCCAAACAGAAATTTTAAAATGGTGCCGAAACAAAGGTTTTGTACACCAACACCAACTATTCCTAAAAGCAAGGGCTAGAGAGAGAAAGAAGTAAAAACAATCGCAAATCCTAGGTCTTTACAAATCTAGAGAAAAACAAACACAGGGGTCTAGTATGAAGATATTAATATAAAGCCATACTTGTGCATAATATGCAAGCTGGCTGAGTTGGTTCACAGAGACTCTGGGCTTGTCTGCCCTCCTCCCCAACTCCTCCAGCCTCCCAGGGGCTTGGGTCTCCTGATCAGAGAAACTTGACTGGCTCCTGTGCTGGCCTTGCTGAGATATGCCCTGGGCAGGCATTGGACAGGAAGGAGACTCCTCACATGATTCCACATAATCCTTCTTTTCTCCCTGAAGCTGCATACTGCAGAAGAAGCACAATGGAAATGCACACAAGACGGGGCCCAATATGGGCAAGAAGGGCCCTGCTGCTCTGTGGCGTCTGGGTCTCTGCATGCCTGCCCCTCCCTGGTGCCTCCCAGGTCCAGAGTCTCCCGAAGGCTACAGGTAGGCGGACATGGGGCTCAACTGCCCCTGCCACAGATAGATGAAGGGACAGAGGGGTGAAACACTCTCCTTTTGCTTGCTTCCTGTTCTATTTGCTCTGATTTTTAGCAGTTGGAAGGATATCAAACACTTTTTATCCCTTCAATAAGTTCTTAAAGAGACCTCTGAAGTAATTCACAGAGATCAAGAAGTAGGCGAGTCTCCATTTTTTTTTTTATTGTTGGTGAATTCATCATGAAAAAAAAAAAAATCTTTCATCCTAGAAACTGTAATAGTGGGTGATTCTTTGCAGGCCTGAGGACAACTTGGGCTCTGAAATGAAAAAAAAATGAAATTGTACAGTTATTAGAAATACATCAGAGACATAGTTTCTTCTTTGGGAGGGAGGGGGGTTCAGAATTCCCTTTTGGTGTAATGATTTAATAATTTCCTCTTTTTAATTTCTCCATTAACTTATTAAATAATCTCCTTCAGTGTCAAAGATAAATTTTCTAAAGCTCTACAACTATGTATCATTTTGGAAAGTGTATGGCCCATTTTTACTGGATTCACAAAATTTCATCCAAGCACCCCACAATTTTCTTAAAGAAACCCTCTTTGTAGGGTTTCTGTATGAGACCCCAACATTTACCACACATCCACCTCCTTTTCCTTACCAGAAAATGGCACCCAATGTGTTATTTCTCCATCCTCGGAGTTTCCTGAAGGATTTTTCACAAAGCAGGAGAGCAGAGATGGAGGCATCATAATCTACTTCCTAATTATCCTCTACATGTTCATGGCTGTGTCCATTGTCTGTGACCAGTACTTTATACCCTCCCTGGAAATCATCAGTGAAAGTAAGTGACTGGAAAGCTCTCTTACAACCTTCCAGAAGAGTTTGTGTGACAGATATGACTGTGCTTAAAACAGCTTGGTAACAATGCTGTCCATTTCAACTGGTTGCCGGGCAATGACCGCTATGGTAAGGGCCCTGTGTGTTCAGGAATGAGCCAGTGTGGCTTCTCTTAGTAACTGCATGCAACAGATCACCTTCCATGAACCCCCAGCAGCTACTGCTATAGTCCTTAGTTTCAGCCCTGTTTGTCCACCATACTGCCTGGAAAACTGGTGTAGGCACGGTTCCAAGGTTTCACATCTATGCATTTGTGTATTCTCCGAATACAATGGGACTTCTAATACTGGCCATTTTAAACTTCACAAACCTTTTTTACATTTTTACCCTAAGGTCCTTACAGCTTTTTTTTTTAGAGGCAGGCAATATACAGATGTGATTAAAACCACCTTTCCCTCATCTTTTCCTGGCATCTTACCATAAAGAAAATTGGTATTTAAAAGTAATAAGTTTTACATTCTATGTAATGTGGCCTCAGGCAACATCATAAACTCAGTTATTAAAAGCTAAGCTTCATTACTGGTTTCTAAAAATGAGATCAACTAGGCTAAGCCCCCAAGTTCTATTCCCATAATATACATTGCCTAGAATTCAGATGATAGTCCTGCATTATTATACTAGTCCCTAAAATTTAAAATCAGGTCATCAGTGATGTTTTATGCCAGGTAAAAATTCAAGTACTAAGCCGGGCGCTGGTGGCTCACGCCTGTAATCCTAGCTACTCAGGAGGCTGAGATCTGAGGATCACAGTTCAAAGCCAGCCCAGGCAGGAGAGACCGTGAGACTCCTATCTCCAATAAACCACCAGAAAACCGGAAGTGTTGCTGTAGCTCAAGTGGTAGAGCGCTCGCCTTGAGCTGAAGAGCTGAGGGACAGCGCCCAGGCCCAGAGTTCAAGCCCCATGACCGACAAAAAAAAAAAAAAAATTCAAGTACTAGCATTTCCAGTCTCTGTCTACTACTTGGTTAGTTTAATTGGTTGAGCATTTCAGAGCACAGTTAAAGGGCTGAGTGTCATCATATTCATATGACTGAGTAGAACACCAGCATCCTCAACCCCATTTCACATACACATACCCCTGTCATTTCTTCCCAATGGAAATGTAAGCTCTTTTTTCCCACTGCCACATCCTACCCTTGCTTACAGGCAAGGCAAATTGCAGTTTCTCCTGTTCACCACAGTATAGCACTGTCCCTAGGACCTGGCAAGAGTAGAGGCATTAAAGTCCCATTTAATGAAAATAATAGACATAACAATAAGCATTGCCTTAAGTAGTAGATATAAATAGTATTTTGCCCTTATAGGAGTAGGGGTAAGACAAAATCAAAAAGGTGATTCTGAAGTGAGATCAATCCATATTATACAGGGAAAAATATATCTCACTCTAGTTATCTAGAGCCTTCTAACTTTAAAGACAAGTAGCAGCTTCTCTGGAGAGAAACAGAATGGATATTCTGAGAAAGCTAAAAGAGGAGCATTATCAGAGACCAAATTAGATCCAAGGAACCTAAAGGAAATGGATAAGGAATGAACTTGAGGGCTCTCCCTCACAGCAGCTGATACTCTGAGGAGTAGACATGTGGGTGAAAGACTTAAGAACCTTTTTCTAAGATTCTCAAGCTTAGGTCAATTTGTTAAATAAGTCACATACTTTGCAGTCATATTTGCTACTGTTCACTTGAGGATTTACATTCTCTACATCTCTGTGCTGGTCAGCTTGCTGAAAGGTCTGTGACAATGCTAAGAACCGTTGGAAGCCTGGAGAGGAGGACAGAGCCACCGCACGCTCTACTGGAAAATTACTATAGTGAGGTAGTTGGAAGTGCCCACCCTAAACTGGACCCAGCCTGGGTTCCACGTTCAGTTCTGCCATTTACTAACTCTGTGGCTTTGGGCAAACATGTCACCTCTATCTGCCTTATCTATGTCAGCTATGAAGCAGGATTAATGAAACTATTCTTTGTTCATAGGGTTTAGGCCAAGTACATGAGCAAATATAAGCAAATACCAACACAAGTACATACTACAGGAAACACTCACTGAATATTCAATATTCCATAAAAACAAACTGCAAAGGTTAGAATCATTTACCCAGGAAAGGTAAAAGTGGAGAAGGTGAATGATCAAAGTAAATATAAATACATTCAGAGCAAATACCAACTCTGTGCTGTATCTGCTAATACCTCACAAGGTAGGAAGTATGCTTACAAAACCTGTCCTTCTATTTTATCTAATATTATATGTGGCAAGTTTATAATATTCCTTAAATATCTCTAGGACACTTTTTAACTTCCTTTTATTTATCTTATATTACCATGTATACCACTTTATCTCACTTTTAGTAATCTTGTTTTTAAAAAAACACCTTTATTTAAACATCAATATGCATTATATAAATTTAAAACATAAAGTTAAATCCAAAATAGGACTATTATCTCTATAACAGGATCACTTTTTAAAACAAAATTTCAGCATAATATAAAACAATTTCCTCTTAATATGTAATAGGGGATCTTGGAAGTATTGAACTATTGCTTGGAACAGCTTAAATTATTGCTAAAATATCCACATAGAAAACTTAAACCCCTTAAAATTGGTCACAATATAACCCAAATTCCACATTGAGCTAACAATAAAACTTTTCTTTTGAAATGTTAACAATAATGCTGTTTAATTAGAAATTCTAATCCCTCCGTTATGCTGATACTTTGAGTTTATAACATGTCTTAAGTGAACATGATCTTCATAAAGTTTAGGAAACATAATTTAAATAAAATATTTGCCTTTTTCCCCCTAAAATCACTTTTACGCCCTCTGTTTTAAACTAATGTTCAGCTATGTTCTACATTGTGTTTCAGAAATAAGACAATAAAAAATACGTGGTTTAATTCCAGGTAGGATTGGTTCTAAATTGATAAAATTGAGAGTCAAATAATTCTTAGTGTGGCATTTGGAGAGCCTACAGTTGCAGGGGATTATTTGATTCTTAATCCTTATAAAATTTACAGAGGCAAGAGCTTTCCCAAACAACAAAGGCTGAGAATAGCACTTCCTGCTGCTTCCTGAGCATTCAGTCTCCTAAAAGTGTTTCTTCCTTTGTTCTTTTCCTCTGATCTCAATTGTGGTCCCCTTGGATCTCATCGACACCTAGAGCAGGCAGATGGATTTAAATAAGAGCTAAGTACTCTGTTACCAGGATGCAATTGCCGGAACAACCAATAATGATATCAATAAAGCTATATATCAGTCACTCCACATGGACAGTCAAATCAGAAGCCTTTAGGTGTCAGAAAGATCTAGGTTCCCATCCTGCCTCTGACCCTGGACACATTATGGAGCCAGAACTCTGATTATTGTGAGGTTTGGAAATAGTGTCTTGCATGCCTGGTAGGGTAGACTAAGGGTAAGCAGAAACCCACTGTAATATTATAGCCTTCGACCACAGGAGGGAGCAGAATCAGACCCTTAAAAGTATTGTACAGATTTCAACATCCATTCCTTCCTTGTCCAAAATATGAGGTAAATATAAAGTAATCAAATTGTTAATAACACCAGTGTATGTGTATGTGTACATGCCTATACAATTATATATGATTGAAATTCAAGGCACTCATTCCAGTGATGCTGGTTTTACTGAAAATATTTCAGCCAATATATTTGAACTTACCAATTCCAGAATGAGTTTTACCAACCATAAAAGAAACCAGTTTGCTATTGCCCTAAATAGAATTACACAACATAGCTATGCACCCTACTTAACTAGAGGTGAATAACTTTTGGTTGTTTCCAATTTATTCACAAAGCATGAAAATTTGCAGACTTTTTACTATTGTGTGTTGCCTACAGGTATAAGTCTATACAAGAAGCATGTGAAAAGGATTGGTAATACATCTAAATTATAGTAGTTAATATATATGGTGACTCTTCTGCTCATTTTTCTCCTACATCTCCCAAATATTCAATAATTTTTAATTACTCTAAGTGGAATTTAATTCAGAATAAAAGTGCTATAGTCTCTTAAGGCATAGTGTTTATACTCTACATTTTGAGTAAAAACTAAAACAATTAGAAGATAATCTAATATTGTGTGGTTAAACCCTCTAGTTTTTTCCCTCCAAATAGTCCTTTATTGAGATTAAGTGATTATATAAATTTCACAGTACTGTGGCACAGTTATACTTAGCAAAGTCACAAATACCTTTTAACCTTCACAATGATAATCATCACCTTGATCTGCAAAGTTTATGAACTCTACGAATTTTAACAATAGAACTGTTTCTACTAAATCAGGTGATATGTACATTTCTTTCTTTTTGCTTAGTGTCAGCTGTTCCTCTTTCTCATTCTCCCCCTCCCATCACCACCATTGAGTTGTTTAGTTCACTTTTGTCAATGTCCAGGGCATCTGATGGGCCCCTCTGCTGTATTTTTTTGACCCGTTTTCCTCTTGATTCCATGTCCTCCTCCCAGCTTCCCTCAGATGTGCACATGTATACACCGTATATGAGGTAAAGAATATAGAGTCATCCTAAAACGATAAATCAAATTAAGAGGTCCTTTGTTTCCTTGTCTTTGGAATTCTTTTCAGTCTGTACATTATTTCATGCACGTCTGAAGAGGTGCTTGGGAATTACAATTTAAAACTTCCAGTTTTACATCTGACAAATAATGGAGGTTTGTCTCAATAAACTGAAGGTTTGTTTATATCAAAATAATGGCAGGGCCTGAATTCAGGTCTGTTTTAGCTTATACTCCTACTTGTATACTAAGAAGACTTTTTCAAAAGTTATAAACTTTCCAACATGGCATTCCAGAACACACTTAGAAAAAGTCTGATGAATTTTATTGATCAGCTCATTACCATGAAGTTGTAGTTTATGTAAACAGTGTACTGGTACTTCCTAGACCCACAAAGAAAATTCATCTTGAACATTTCTACTATAT